AGCCAGAATGTGTGAGATAGAATAACAGAAAACATGCCAGATAGAATATGTCAGATTGCATGTCAGATGGAATGCCAACATTGAGATTAGGGTCGGCTTCAAGTTATCCTCGCACACTGCAGCTTCCAACCTACATGCGGGATCTGCAAATATAACTTGCGCACCATACACTTTCTGACATATATTTTGCCCATGAACTTCACACTTCGAGTTGAAAGCAGATAGATTGTGAGGTTGAGTGGATATATGTGACATGCAGAGGTTGAGGATCATAGCCGCTGGTCGTGAGTTGTGAGATGATCTCTGCCAAACTTTACGTATGTATAAAATGTCATGGTGGGGATCACTCGAAGTAGAGTAATTATTTTTTTTTGGAAGTCTACTCGGGCGGCTGTTGCCTCATGGCGTCCACAGTTTCAATGAAGCGTCCAAGTTTTGACCACCGCGACTGCCGCGCCTATTTGTTCATTCTGGGTCCAAGTTCAAGCTGAAAGACGCCGCTGTCCCGGTGCATCAGACATTAGCGTGAGGACCCGCCATCACGTTTATGTTTTTTCAGTTCGCAGATCTTCAGTGGAGTGGGCGCCACACTTTCGTGTTGCATCCACACTAGGCACGGCAGATGCCTGCGCCTAAATGAAAGCAGACGCCTAATCTCACAAAGCTGTCCTTCTGTTTCCTTGTCTTCAATCGATCCTCATTTGGCCTGGAACAGGCAAAGGACGGACATTTTGCACGATTATATATATATAAGAATATATAAGATCGATATAGATCAATTATATAACACTATATAAGTATAACTAATGTATATAGACTCTTGATTAATAAACCACCCATATGAAGAGGTTTTTCAATTTCAATTGGGCAGGACACTAATGCGACATTGGTGAACGTAAGAAACCTTGAGTCGTCCTCATGCAAAAACCCTGCCGAAGAACAAACCATGTTAAAATTGTTGTGTCGAAGTCGGCACCTCATCTATGAAGTTCGTAAAGGGCAAACCGCCACTCCGAGGCACGCACTTGGTAACCTGCAGGTTCAGCTGTGAATGATACACGGCGGGCAAAGTTGGTAGGCACATGCACTCATTTAGGCACTTGCCCTCCTCCGAAGTGAGTTCAATGACTGTGTCAAGCACTCAAAATTACAAGCAAGATACTGTAAACCCGAGAGTGTGTGCGTGACACTGCCATTTGATTTGTCAGCAAATGGCCTGAGTCGACATGTTTAAAACCTATGGCTTAAACCACACCAACGGTCCAAAACTCAGCCAACATCAGCCAACCAGCAAAGGGCGCAGGCCAAATTGTTGTGCAACCTTTTTGCATGGGTTTCCTGTCCATCACACTCTTTGGCAGTGGGGCAATTCCAGACGCAGAGTGATCAAACTAGTCCATACCATCCGTACTTTTGCAGATTTGGAGGTTTTTTGCGACGGCGGCCACGACCACCAACTGTGGACGTTTACAACTGGCTGAAACCATTACAGGTCGACATCCCAGGTGGAGGATTCTGTTCATTTTGGTTAACCCCCCGAGAAGGATTTGCACAAGAAGTGAAGGTTCCGGGGTAGTTGCCATGACATTTCTTACAGGGCCTGTGACATGTTGTGCTTGACCAGACTGAGGCCTTGATCTCCAAAATGCGTGCCTTCAAGCCTTAGGACAGAGGCGGTAGGCACAGCATGGGTTTCTTAGGCGGTTCCGAAGTTTTGAGTGTAGATTGGCTTTGGTGTCTGCGTTAGAGAAGAAGCGGAAACTGATTTTGAGACAACTTTCTGAGACCAGATTTGCGATTTACCCATGGCATTTGTGCCGTGCCATTACACATGTTTTGGTTCTGGGACAGCGTGATGCACTTGTCACTGTTGACGCTTGCTCAGGACAAGGCCACACTTTGTGAGCACCCCCCAGTGGTCTCAACGCGGTTCGCCGGTTCCCATGTGGAAATGACACAACGCGAGTCGGCCGTGGCAAAAAATTGCCACGTTTTTTCCGCAGGACACTCGAAGGCCCGCGCGAGATCTCGGTAAAACAAAGAAGCACATCGCGAGTGCGAGGATCACGGAGAGTTTGGTACTGTAGGGGCACAGGGCACCAACGAATATGTTCCAAGTCTAATTCGATGGAGTTCTTCCGGGTGTCAGCATAGAGTGCCAAACTGGCATTGACAAGGAGAAACCAAACACGAAAAGGAGAGGAAGGATTGAACAAACCACAGAAACCACTAAGTCGACCAAAGTTGAAGGCGGTCAAGGTGCTAGCGTGCTTGAAAGGGTGTACCTTGATTCCCTTTAAGACTGTCAATCGTTTTAAACGGGAGCTGAATTGGCAGGCGCACTTGTGTAGATTCCTATTGACCTGCCATTCCGGGAGGTCAGGAAACCGACTAGCAAAATCGAGCAACATCACCATCCAAGTGACTTTTGGCCCCAACGGATCAGAGCTGAAAACAACTTTGCATGCATGGGAACGTTTTCTTCGGACTTGGTGATGGAATGCCTCCAGCTGTTCAGGGCTGCGTTTTGGCTGCAGAACCGCAAGGGCTACAAGCGAATTGGTGTTGAGTTCACACTTCCCAGACCAGTGTGGCCGCACGCGCTGGTTGTATTTATTTGACAACCACGCTCGTGTGCAAATTGTGCGCGCTGAAAGGTCCAGATTCGTGCCACCCACCAGTGTAAATGTTTTGACTTGACAGCATCGTGGTGCAGCAATTGGACGCAATCGGCCGCTATCTTGGCTCAAGCTTTCTGTCGGACGGCGTGATTTCACGTAGGTTTGGCTCAGAACAAGGTAGGCACCATCAAAGATCCACATGCACACGCAGCGGCCGTACCATACCACTTTGCTTGCCACTTGCGTGCAGCACAGTGCACATCTTTAGGCGACATTACATGACACTTCCACACCTTGAAGGCAGAGGGTCGATTCGCGAGAGCCACCGCCATGGGCCAAAGAGGGTGCAAATGAAAAATGCCGCAGGGGGAACAGAACCTGAAGTCCCTGGGCCAAAATTGGCGGGTTCAGTCTCGCTTAAGGGGAGGTTAGATTGGTCGGGGCAGATGCTTGACAAACGTAGGCAGAAATTTTGAAATAGACAACCATGGGCTGACAAAAGTTGTTGGTGGTGTTGGAGCATTGATTGTGCTCAACGAAAATTGCCAGAAAGAGAAGGGAACGGAATGAGCTGAGTGGTATGCCTGGAGAACGAAGAAAATGCGCAACACTTGAGCATGTAAACGGACGATGCTGACACCCTCCCGAAACTTCCCGAAACCATCCGCCGAGGCCGCCAGATTTGGGCGATGCTGCTTGGCAATAATAACGCGGCTTGCCCTGAAGTTCGGCATTCCCAGCCATGAATGATTCGTGCCACTTCATCGGATTTTTGTCTTTCCGTGCTGCTTCTTGGCACGTTTGCAGCTAGAAGCAGTGGGCTGCGGACGCCAGATCTTCGAGGTAGCCTTTCAAGCTCCAAGTGCCCACCAAATCATGAAAGTCAACTGTATGGGAACCTTCGGTCCCCTCGTTTGGTGTTTCAGGATGTTTTGCCGCGGCTTCGAGATTTGGTCATGCGATGCCCGCAAGAGGCCCAGAATAAGTTGATTGCTGGCGCTGACATCGACTGTTTGTTGTCTGTGAAATAGGTTTGATGCACCTGACCCTGTGTTGATCATTCCGAGCTTGGTATTCCTGAGGTGCACGGTGCTGGAAGGCATTCGATGGAGTGTGGTTTGCAAGGTCGGGCCTGTCCCTGAACTTCGTATTGGTGCATTTACAGTGTGGACAAACATCAAACATGAATATACTATACTTAATTCGGGCACTTCGAGAGTGGCAGTACTTTATTCCCATGGGAACTGACCGACATCATGTCTTTCATGCGGTCAATCCGTCAGCAGTGAGGGCTAAACAGACCCAAGCAGACCGAAACGAAACTTGGCAAGCTACTCCAACTTGTTCTGCCCCAATGGGGGAAGAAGGTGCAAGGACTTGCGAGGATCAAACTCACACCCGCTTGCACCAGGACAAAGCCAAGTGGCAAACCGTGGTTGATCATGGCATCGCCATTATGGCTCAAAACTGGGCCCATCCTGGAATGTGTCAATCAAGGGGCCTGGAACACAAAACGCAGCGGCCCAAGGTGACATCGGGAACATCACGTCGCAAAGTACCAAAAATACAATCGGACAATGAACGCTAATTCGACCCCACATGAATGCAGATGAAACATGATGGAGGCTGGCCTGTGCCTCACTCTTTTGTGTGTGCTGTTGAGGCCTGTTGGGGGCGGCTGTGTGCTGCCACTGATGAAGGGCAGCCCTGTGGGATTTCAACCAAAGGCCATTGCAGCGGGCCCTCAGGAAAAACTAGTGATCGTGGACCAAAGAGGTGTGCTCCTCTTTGCTGACATGAAAGATTTTACGGTGCAACAGGATTTCCAGCTTTCTCGTGAGATGGACGAGTCCAATATCCAAGGGCTGGCGATGACCAACCGCGATAGCACGTACCTCTACGCTGCGGCGAACCATGACTCTGAACTAGTGGAGTATGAATGGCACAGCTCCCACAAGGTATTTCGGAGGTTCAAACTATTGGGCGTGCCTAGCGTTGGCCAAGGTTTGCAAAGCCTTACCTTTGTCCCAACGCCTGCCAGTTCTCAAGAGGGCTACTTTTATGCGAGTGCGGGGATTTCAGGTGACATCTACATCTACGAGGTCCCACTGCTCAGTGAGGGGCTCACATCAGCCAGGTCCGTAAAGGTTTGGTCGCCAGATTCAGCTCCAAGACATCAGGATCACCATGTCACAGGCCTAGAATATGCTGATGGCTACTTGTTTGTATGTTACGATATGGGTTCCTCGGCCTACTTGTTGATCTTCGAGATCCTCCCTTCAGGGCTCCCTGGCCCCTTGCAGGAGCGCCATCAGGCGACAGTTGGCCAACGGCCATTAGAAGTCAGTTTTGGCAAATCAAAACGCAGTGCGCACAAAGATACACATATATAATATATATATATACACACACACGTGTATGTATGTATATATATACTTGCCATCACTTAGTGGTATTCTAGTATTTTTTCATTTCTTGGCCATCACACGAGAATTCCTTTCTTAGAGAAAGTATGAAAACGAGAAAATAAAATAACATAAACATATAAAGAAGGCATCATGTTTAGCTGAACTGCATGCCCCCTCAAACAGTCCACAGAACTAGGCACGCATATGAGTGTAGACATTAATAGGGTAAAAAAGTTCTTTTTCACTTTTGATGATATTTCTTTCAAAGAGATAAAGTGAGGCCCACGGCCACAACGTCTTGAATCCAGAAAATAGCATCAATCCTTGAAGGTCGCATTTCCCTTTTTTGAGACACGAGATTTTAAAATATTTTCTGCTTCCATACAAAACCACAATGAATGAAATCAAGGCAGGCGTGGCTCAGCCAAGAAAGGCAAGTTTCATTGACTTCAATTTAAAGTTTACAGCAATAAGATTGTGTCTTTGCCACATTAAATGCGCTGCGCTGCTTTGAATATTAATTAGTTTGCAAGAGCCACTACAGAGTACAGCATGTCCAAGAGCAGTCCTTCAAAACAATTTGTGTTTAGCAGGCTTCAGTGCAAAAAGCACGACTGAGATGGAATAGATTTGGGGTTGTCAAACGACCAAAAACAGGGTGTTTTCAGCAACCCATCTTCGCATTCTTTTTGTGCAACGCAAGATTTGGCAAGGCGCAGTCAAAATTGCTTTGTCCCAAACCTAAGCTGACAAAACTGAAGCATTGGGGCCGAAGCAGCCCTGCGTGGCCGATGCAGCCATCACTCGTCGTCGGCCAAGGGATCCCACACCTCTTCCTCGTCCTCATTCTCCACATTCTCAGCGTTTTCCTGTTCCTCCTCCTCCTCTTGCTCCTCCTCCTTGGCTTGCTGGGCTTTGGCTTTCGGCTTCTTTTTGTCTTTGGCTTTAGGCTTCGGCTTTGCTTTAGGTTTCCCCTTAGGCTTCGGCTTTGCTTTCGGATCTACATCCCTTTGCGGCTTTTGGTCATCACCTTGGCCGGTGGGATTGGAAACACTTCCAACCGCCTCAGCGTAAGCTGCAGAAAACAAAGGTGACTCAGGGTCTTTCATGTCCTTTTCCAGCAACGTGAGCAAACGTTCTTCGAGAAGGCGCTGGTGTTCAGGGTTGAAAGCTATGCCTACGTACCCCACACGGTTGCGCAAAGCTGCCCAAGCCATTCGTGCATCCAGCGGTGTCAGATCAATGATCATTTTCACAAAAAAGTCATGAATCAGCTCTTCACAGAGCTCGTACGGAGGACTGTGGTAGCACACCGGCTCTGAACCATTGCGGGATCTGCTGTTCTGCTTGTCTCCATCGTCCTTGTCGTGCGTTTTCCCACCCACCAGGATCTGGTGTTTTTTCCCCAGAAGTTCTTTTTTCTCTTTCCAAGGCAAGTGCCACTCAGAAGACCAAGGGGGCATGTGCACATTGGCAATCAAGTCGCCTGTGGTAGAACCTGCGAAGTGCTTTCTGTCACGGCTGGGAAGGGACAGTTTTTTGGATGTGAAGATGTGACATCCCTCCATTTGCTTCAAGGTGCAGGTTCCACGGACTCGCTTCTTTCTGGCTGCTAGAGAGGATTCTGAGTATCCAATCATCAGTGTGTCTGCGCAGAAGGTTGGCTTGTCCTCATCTTCCTGGTCTTCTTCTGCATCTTCTTCATCTTCTTCGTCGTTTTCTTTGCTTTTGGCCGTTCCTTCTTTCCAGGGCGACATCAATTTGTTTCGAAGACCTTTTTTGCCGGCGTCAAAGACCACAGCCACGTCCCCTGCCATCAGGTTTGGGTGGCTGTGGCCTATGACCTCTTGCCGCGCTGTAAGAACACTTTTGACGAGCTTGGTGTACAAGGGCTCCCGGAATGTTGCCGTTCTCAAGTCTGGCCGCGTGGTGGGTTCGCCATATTTTTTCAGATCAAACAAAAACATGCCCAGGCCAGTTGGATCCCCGCGTAGCGACATGAAAGGAGTTTCTTTCAAGGCTTTTTCCAGGTCCACATTTGTGCGATGATCGCTTACAAAGCGGACATGCTGGGCAAGGACCTTGCGCATGTGTTGAAGCCACAAAGCTTTATCTGCCTCAGAAAGTGCAGTGGATGACGGGGCCGTTGATTCAGAGGCCGCAGCAGCCTCAGAGGCCGAAGCAGCCTCAGTTTCCTGAGGCTGTGGTTCTGTTTCAGCAGCAACTATTTCTGCTGGCCGTTCTTGTGTCGCTTCAGGCGTCGTCTCTTGGCGAACTTTTTGTTCGATGTTCTCCATTGTGGACTTCAGCGACGGGTAATTCAAAAAATCTTGGACTTCGCGTTTGCTTTTTATTGCGTCCTTGTACCTCAGGTCATACTGACTTCCATACACCAAGGCATCCAGGAAATCGCAAATTTCAGTGACGCTTGGCGGGCAGCCCAGTAACCAGGCCGTATCAGCCTGTGTGTCAGGGTATGGCGACAGGTGTTTTCGCACATTATCGAAGGAACCACAAAAGTTGCGGATCTTTTCTTTCCATTCCTTGCTGAGTTCCAAAGTATTCAACCACTGGTTCAGGCAATGATTCAAAGTCTTGCGCTTCATCTTGAGGACCTCGATGTAACTTTGCCTTGAGTCTTTCAGCTTGCTGATTACAAAAAACCCCGCGTCAATGAACGACATGCGGACACCGTCCACCATTCCTTCCAGGGACCAGGCAATCAACTCAGGCGTCCCTGCTCTGTCAATCAAAGCCTGCAAGGCGTAGACTGACTTCCATGCATTGGAGGACAACCAGTTTTGGTCGCACCACTCCAGCACTTCTTGACATCTGGGGAGGCTGAGAAGTCGTCGATGGATGGTCAAAGCTGAATCGATGAAACTCTCTGAGATTTTTTCTTGGTTCGAGGCTAATTTGAGATGCTGGGTGTAAAGACCAGCCAGTTTTTTCGAACCCAAGTTGGCCTCAGTTTTTTTCTTCTGCTCATGAAAGCCTGCGATCTCATATATGCGTTGCCTCAAGCTCATCTGAACGGACAGCCCCTTCTCCACCATCTCCTCACGAATATTGGCCGCGCGCCAATACCGCTGTTCACCAATGGGACAGATTTCAAAAACAAAGGTGGCCGTGAGAATGCAATTCTTCAAGGCGCGCAAGACTCCAACCTTGGCTTTGGTTTCAATGGCTTCGGCGAGGGCGAACAGCAGGGCATGCACCGGCTCTGGAGGACTGAGGCGCTGAAATCCATTGTCCGGACGCTTGCCGATGCAAGCAGGTGTTTCCAGAGCAACCGTGACGGTAAAGGGGCACAACGACGGTGGCTCGTTCGAAGGAAACCAGTGCTGCTTGATTTGTTGCACCTGTGCACTGTTGATGGGAACCTTGTGGGTGGCCAAAAACAAGAAGTCTTGGTGGAAAAAATTTGCCGCGCACTTGTAGACGCCCACGTTTTCAAGGCCGAAGCAGCCTGAGGCAGATCCAGTGATGCTTCTCTGCCGCCATCTTTGACGGACAAAGGCTCCGCTGTGAGGATGTCCTTGAACATCTCATGTGAGTAAATGACGGCTAAAGCATCATGCACCTTCATCAGGTGTTCCTTCGAAGGTCCAGGATCCATGTCCACGTCTGCGTCATCTGCCGCCGGAAGGGCAAGGTGCTCTTTTTTTTGCTTCTTTTTGGGCGGCATGGGCAAAAAGTTGATTTGAGTTGACTTGAGCCGCTCAAATCTCACAGGTCACAAACATTTAGGAAAAAGAGGGGGACAGGGGCATGTCACGTTGTGATATCATCTTTAAATCTTCCGTAATTATCTATAAGAAGTATGGATGTCAACATTCACTTCAAATGCAATTCCTCGAAAAAAAACTTGCGCAGACTTCCTTTTTAAGTCTTCTGAACGACATCCTGCGGGGCCGCTCACAGCCATCCACGCGTGGTTGTGTGCAGCCACAGCAGAAACAAAAACAGCCCTCTCACATGGCCGAAGCAGCCATCTTAGCCACCATGCTGCGGACATGCCGGGTCCGTGCAACACTGGCGGCACATGTGGCTAGTGCATCCACATCCAGGTTGGTTGCGTTGGCAACCTGTGCACATGGGCAAGTCGATCACCTTGGGAGGGCGATTGCCAGCGGCCGCCCTGTGCTGCATGGCTCTCTGAGCTTTCTTTTGGGCCCATCCAGAGTGCGTGCTGCGATTGCTGCCCCATGGGTGTTGCGTGGGCGTTGACGACGCAGACCAGACGGCTTGCCTCACAACTGTTTGCATGTCACTCCTGAGTTGGTGGACCGCGGAGACGACGTCGGCATGACTTGCAGGACGCTCCCTCAAAGAAACGCCCAGCTTTCTGGTTGGAGGCGGGCTGCCCACAGATGGGCTTGGCTCCCGTGAGCTTTTCGTCTCTCTTTTTTTCTTGTCTGCGCTTTGAGGATACCCAGTGGTTGCTTGCCTTTTTTTAATGTCTTTGGCACTGCCCGCATGGGGCGCATCATCATCTGCAGAGGAATATTCATACTCAGAGTAGTACTCGTAGTCATCATCTTTTGCAGAGATGAAGACCCTCCTTTGCTTCATTTTCTCTGCTGCGCGGTCCTCCTCGTCATTGTCATCCAGCGGTTTCTCAATGTGATCAGGTCTTTCTGTCAAGATCAAGCCGGACGATGGTGGATTGGAGGAACCTGCCGCAGCCGCAGCAGCTGCAGTCTCAGCCACGGCACCCTGAGGCTGGTCAGGCACCGCCTCTTTTTCTGTGGCCGAAGCAGCCACAAACTCAGTGGCCGAAGCAGCCACAGACTCAGTGGCCGAAGCAGCCACAGAAGCCTCAGCGGCCGCAGCTGCTGGAATAGCTGCCATGTCGTCATCAAAATCAACATCGTGGACAGATTCGTCCTGGGCAGCAGCCACGGTCACTTCGTCGTCCTTGCCGCCTGCTTGGACGACTGTGTCCCCGACCTCTTTTGGCTCCAAAAGCGCCAAAGCCCGTTGCACCAACTCTGGCTTGTGCGGACCATTGGGAGGCCCTTCGGCAAAAATTTGTTGGACTTGGGGCGGGCACTGCAGCCGCAGATGTTGGACCAACTCCTCAAAAGTGCCAAGGATGGTCATCTTTCCGCCCACCCATGAATCCAAAGAGCTCTGACCTGGTGGCAGTTTCTTTTTGTCTGCATGAAACCAAATAGCATCAATCAACGTTTCCTGGCCTCCACAGGCCATCATTTTTAACGCCAGCCATTGGTCGTCGATGACGCAAGTCATTCCTTCAGTGAAATACTTCTTGTCGTCCATGTGCTTGACCAAATTCACTTGGCCTTGTGGCATTCCCAGGGACACGCAAAAACGGTGCACCCAGTGGGGGCACTTGTCTGGCTGGTTTACTCGAGACACCACCTTCGGCCACCTGCCTGTGCGGTGCTTCAACATGTGGATGAACATGTATGCACCAGGCATGGCTGCCCGGTAGATAGTCTGTCCGTCCTGGTACTCCACCTGTTTGTTGCTCAGCACCCCACCAACGTCGATCGCAACCTGCTCTGCTGCCCGAGCTGGATACTTCTTGACGTAACGTCGCATTTCCAGCGCCATGTGGCCGAAGCAGCCACTGGCCGAAGCAGCCAGAGGTGGTGGCGAAGTCTTGGGCCGCCGAATGGCTACGGCGACAAATGACGACGACGACGACCACGACGACGACGACCACGACGACGACGACGACGACGCTTGACAAATCTGGTTTGGAAGGAGATGTCAAATCGCCATCCCCTTCCGAGGTTCAAGGACGACCCCGAGCTTCCTAAGGAGATGACAATGACATGACAACTGCTTCTAGAATAGAAACGCTTAGTGGTATTCCCGTTTCGCCCCCTTGTCGTCATCTCCTTACAAGGTTCAAGGACGACCCCGAGCTTTGGAAGGAGATGACAATTCGCCCTTACCTTACAAGGGTTTGACCATAATTTATAAATCTTAGGAAGTTCAAGGACGTCCCCGAACCTGTTTTTTGAGGGATAGTGGGCAGAAACTAGGTTTAAAGGCGGCATTGCACTCCTGCGCCCTTTTTTTCCCTTTCAATCATTCATAAGTCGGTCGTCCTGGCCGAAGCAGCCACTTTCCTCCATGGCCGAAACAGCCACATTCCTCCATGGCCGAAGCAGCCAAAATTCACTCAACATTTCCTTCTTTCAATTCGAATTCCCACCAGGATCCACCAAAGTTTCCGATCCGCAAGTCATCATCCAGCTCCGAGTGCTGCACGGCCTTATTGAATGCTTCCCAGAGGTTCTCCCGAAACGTCGACCACCTGAAGTTCTTGTAATCCAGTGTCATAGCATCCAGATAGCTGATGAAAAGGGTGGCCATATAAAAGTCCCACTTCGTGAAACGAGTCAATGGTACTTTGATCCCCTCAGTCGTATCTGGCAGCCCTCCGACAATCCTGCATTCAGGATAAGTACTGGGGTCTCCATAGCGCAAGGTGGTCATGACATCGATCGCAATCTCGATTTGCCACCCAAAATCTGCTCTGAAAGGTCCCAGATGGCAATAGCACCAGAACAGAGCATTGCGAGTGCATTCAAAAACATCTTCCATCTTTTGCAGCCCAAAGACATTGACCGGTCGCTCTTTGAGAAAGAGCTGTATCACACATACAAAATGACAAAAGTTGGCCTCGTCAGCGCCTGCTTCCGAACGCAGCGGCATGAGCACCAATGGACCAGAAGAGCGCGACCAAGCACGAAGCACGGGGCCAAGAAAACTTGAACCAAAAAAACGAGCCTTTTTCTCGCACACGCAAGTCATGCGGTTACAAATTGAACATCCTGGCATTGCTGTGGTTGCAGTCAAAAACATAAAACAGCTTTTGCAGCCCATGGCGGTTTTTTTCATCCCAAGCGCGGAATCTGAACTTGACCACCCCCAGCCAAGTCGTCCGTGTCAAGCATGCGACCAACCCTTCACAGTGGCCGAAAAAGGCAAATACTTGGCCGAAGCAGCCAGACAGTCAGATTGGGAACTCCGCCACCCTTGAAATCAAACCAGCTGCGTACAATGCGCCCTGAAGCACGCAGCCAACCAAAGGAACCGGCACACAGTTGCCCAGCATTCCTTGCAACTGGGCCTTGCTGACATGCTCTTGCCAACCTTGCAACTCGTCAGATTTGAACCCAGAGACCTTGAGGATCTCATTTGTCGACATTTTTCTACCACGAGTACTGATCCAGAAGCCACCAGTCTTAGCTCGAGATTGGCACAATGTGCGGCTGACATCCACCCCAAATGTGGAGTATGCCTTGGTGCAGCCGATGTCAATAGCTACAGGAACCCGGCGTGGGTCTATGCCTCGCTTATGCACCTTTTTGAACGCATCCACAGTCAAAGCCTTAGCTCTTGCATTTTTTGGCAGGCGACCAGCCATATCAGTAGGTCCGGGTGCGTCCAAAACATCTGACAAAGAGCGTTTTCCTTTTTTCTTTGGCCACTTGAAAGGTCTTCTATATGAATCCTTCCTGATTGCCACAACAAACAGTCGTGCTCTCTGCTGAGGCACTTGATAATCAGCAGCGTTCAAAACTCCAAGAAACACCTTGTAGTCCAGTTTCTCCAACGCAGCTTTGATGCCCCGAAGAACTGGGCGGTTTGTCTTGGAGCATAGGCCCTTGACATTTTCCAGAACAAATAGACGTGGTCTTTGTCTTTTAGCATACTGCACAGGAACTTTCAAAAGTTGACCTCTAGGGTCTCGCAGTCCCAGCCGCTTGCCCTGCGACGACCAAGGTTGGCAGGGAGGTGTAGCCACGTAACAGTCCACGGCTACCTCTTCTTCTGGTGACCGTGTGGCAGCGTCATTGAACAAACATTGTGGGGAATGAAAATGGCGCAGCATCTTTTTGCACCCAGCGTCGCAGTCGCTGCTAAAGGCATGTTGCAAAGGCAATCCCAGCCTCTTGAGCGCTATAATGGCAGTATCCAACCCGCTGAAGTCAGTCCCCACCCGAATAACACGAGGAGTGCGAAGTAGCAGCGCCATTGTTCACTCACAGCCGAACCAGCCGCAAGTTTGAAGGCCGAAGCAGCCTCAGGAAACGTGTGAGTCAATGAATGCTGGCCGAGCCGAAATCTTACACAAATTATAGAATGAACAGACCTAGATATACTCCAACATGCAAATACCAGAAACCGGCTCAGCTGCGCATTTTTTCCACTTCCGAGACCGCCCATGTCCCCTTAAGAGCAGTCATTTGAAAAGCCCTGAACAAGACGCCAGCGCGTCAGCGCGCCGAATGCGATGCAAAAAGCTCTCAGTTGTGTGCATGTTATTGTCGCCCTCGCTCACAGCATTCCTCTCATCCTCGTGAATCACTGCGAACGCTTTGTATTTAGGATATGATCTCTGCTTGGTTTGCAACTGCTGGACTGTGCAAGCTTGCATCTTGTGAATCTTCCAGCCATGTCCTGGAGGAAGCGCTTTTCGAAAGTCAGTCCAAAATGCGTTGTTTTTTTCTGCGCAAATTCGACTGACCAGGATAACTTTTCGCACCTTTGCAGTGCGATGGAATTTCAAAGCGCAACCGGTTCTGGACGTGAAGAAGACCGGAGAAGCCTCCACCAGCCCTCGCAAGCCGGCCATCATTTGTAACAAGCATGGCAGGCCTTCACCTGGTTTGTCGCAAACAAATACATGCGCTTCAGACGCTTGCGTTGTCACCTGAAGCCCGTGGTTGGCTAGACCTGCGGTCAAGTCCATTGTGGCCGAAACAGCCAGAAAAGCTTTGCGGCCCGACAAGTCAGCGAGCAAGGCATCCCTGGGATTGTGAGTTGCAAGCTTTTGAACTCTGCTTGCTTGGGCCCGTCTTTTTAACTGATTGTTTACAAATTTGGCCTCCGCATCCTTGGCATTCTGTTGATCTTCGACACTGGCCTCTGGCAAAGATTTCTCGAACGTTGCTTGAATTCGTTTGCTCTGCTGCTTTTTCACTTGAAAAGCCATCTCCTTCTCATGGCCATCGGTGAAAAATTCAGAGTCAACTTGCTCCACGGTGCCTGAGTAACTGGCCGCGGCCGCAGCAGCCGCAGACCGACGTCGAGTCAGAAACTGCCGCTCACTCAAACCGGCTTGCGACGCAATTCTTTTGATCCCCTTGTCCCTTCGAGGTTTGGAATGTTCGCGTGGGAAGCCATACTGGGAGGCCCACGCAACCCTGGCAAGTTTGCAAATTTCAACTTTGTCGGCTTTGCTTTGCGTTGGCAGACCAAATATGAGTCTGAGAACCAATTCTTCGTTTCCAGGCAAAGAAGATCTTCGTTGCATGGTGTAACGGTTTTGCCCCAAACTAAAACTCTGTTCAATTCCCGAGGTGCTTGGTGTGCAGCAAAAATAGTTCTGCAACGCCACCATCAAAACGTCGCATGGGTGGCTTCTGCATGTCCCATATCTCTGCATCGCTGTCCTCCAAGCGTCTTTGTTTGCGTCCCGAACCATGTCATTGGCATTGTTCAATGACCCAACCTGCTCTTTGTATTCCATTTGTGCCCGGGGATACAGGTCTGCCCATTGCGACTGCAGCTGGAGCAAATCCAATTTGTATGTATGCGCTAAAACTTTCATGTGCGAATCGACTGCCGTGGGTCCTACCCCCTTCAGATTGAATATTTCAAATGCCTGGCAAATTTCAAAATAGGGGAACTCTGCTTGGATGGCCGCAGCAGCCAGCTTGACCCACGCTTGCATGCGCCCCATGCATCTGTCCAAAATGGTTCTGTCTACTCCACCACTACTGCCCAACGTTTTCAAGGTTTTTCCAACATGAAATAATATGGGAGACTTCAACTGGCTTAGTACCGTTGAGGTAAACCCAAATACAGTTGCGCAGCGACCTTCCACAAAGAGACTCCGAATCTCTTGCAAATACTGCTTCAATTCACCCGCCAGATTCGCTGGATCAACAAATTCCGTATCGAGAGATCGCGTCAAAGCCAGACTTGTGTCGGCCGCGTCAGCTAACATTGCTGCCTGCAAAAGATGTTCTTCCGAAACCCACAGCAACCACTGCTTGGCTTTTTTTGCTGAACTATCAGATCTGGCATTCATGACGTGGAGAGCCGTCTTGACAACCGCGTGGAAAAACAGGCAAGTGCGTCCAAGTGGTTTCGCGTGGGATTCAAATCTGTGGCCCGCAGCTCGAAAAGATGCTATGGCCGTCCGAAGGTGAGACTCACTGGTTTGACAGTGTTCCGCAAAAAGGCGTTTGAGTTCCATGGAGTCATTGATCAGTCGAGCCATTGACCCTGGTCCTCTACACATGTAATTCATCACTTCTTTCAACTTTTCATCTGCGTTCCAGGGCCGACTCGTCAACCTCCTGCTGGCGTGTGCCCGGTCTCTAAAGACATGCTGCAAATTTGGAAGCATAGGCTGGTTGTCTTCCGGAATCAAAGTCAATTGCGCAGACCGTAGAATCTCGCAGCTAGCCATTTCATCTGCTGCTGCATCAGCACAAATTGCCACTGTGTGTGAGCGCAGATGTTGAAAAAGCCGTGGCTTGAGATAGCCAGCTTGCCGGCCACCAGGCGCCGCAAGAAATCTGGAACAGGCGCGCTTCATCACTTCCCACGTGGCCAGGGACAGATTGTCTGCTCCTGTTCCATTTTGCCTTCCCTGGCCTAAGAAGCCAGACCTAGTTGACAAATCTGGGGCCACAGCCATGAATCGTATTGCTAAGCGGCCATGCCGCTCATCGCGCATCAAAGAAATGTGAGAAGCTTTTGCGATGAACTTCTGGTCCAGAGATTTTAATCCCTCTGCCAAACACCATCCCATTTGCACCTCCTTTTTAGACAGCGACCTTTTAGTCGAAAAACATTCCATGAGCTCTTGAAATTGGCTCAATGAAGGAGCACAATCCGGGCTCGGGCCGCTGCAGCCTCCTTCCTTCAACCAAACCTTCACAGCTGACCGGTGTGATTTGCATGAATCATGCTTCTCTAGATTGATTTTCTGCAGTTGGCTTGCCTTTGTGATCGCATAATCTGCAAAAGGGCTGGAAACCTTGGTCGAATGGCACACTTTGCAACCAACACCCCAGGGCTGGTGCTTCACATCCAACCATGAGCCCAGCTCAGGCAATTCAACTGAAATCAGGAATATGTCACACCATTTAGGACTCAGGGTTTCCCATTTCGCTTTGGCATCGCTTGAGCATTCCAAAGTGGCCGAAGCAGCCATTACTAAATGGCCGAAGCAGCCACAAAGACACGCGCGCAGACTGCTAGCATATCAATTGAGCCAAACACGAGATTTACAAATATCCAACCCACTGTTAAAAATAACACTTAATGCTTCTGCACGAGGGAGTCCATCGATTGCCATGAGGCAATGAACAGGTCAGAACAAACTTGAAGAGAACTTGGATCCCTGAAAAAACAAAGCACATGAACAAAAAGAAAATTGGCACGCCACAACTTAAATTACATCTTAGTTGCAGACATTCATTGAATGACAGGTTATTATCTCAGCCCCCAGTCTCTGGACAAACGAGAGTTGAAAATAACTAGATAAAGGAAACAATACTAAACAAATAATTTCCAAGGCTACTCACAAAAAAATACTAGAATACCACTAAGTGATGGCAAGTATATATCTGGCTCAAGCCATTTTGGCTCAAGCCATTTCAGCATCAAGCCCTGTATCTACCGGATACAGC